TGCCCGCAAGTTGGGAAAATCGCTCAGGTCTCCCATGAAATCTTTTCGGTTTGGAAAACAATTCCTTGTCGGGGACTTGTTGGGGGATTTTCGGGAGGTTCACATCCTTAAGGCGAACTAGCGAATATTTTCAGTAGGACAGGTACAGACAAAAATAGATGAATTGCGCTTTTGAGTAGAACTGAACTTTTCTGAATGGCTGACTGACCCGAAATTAATGGAGTGGGGCTTTGTTGGAAGAAAAAATTCCGAACAAGCGACATCGTTGTGCGAAACCCATGGGGGAGCCGTGCTTGGCCGCTAAGGAGGTGGAGGGATCGTGAACGCAGGGTCGGTAGCGTCAAACAGTCTGCTAAGTTTGATGGAGCGAACGCATCTGCAGAGGACTCGAATGTGTGGAAGACTTGAAGTATTGAAACAGTTAATTAGCAATATCCGTAGTTACCATGAACTCGTAAGTACATAGATGACTAAATAATACATCTCGAATATCTGCGAAATTCTGCGTATCAACCTTCCAAATCCCAAACAAGCATCTGCTTGCATGGACAAAACCAAGTTACCTAAAATCAGTTGCACCTATACCACTTTTCATAGAAGTTCTCGTCTGAAGCAGAAAACCCAGTCGCAAATTACCATTGACCCATACGTAATCCTTACGAAATATTTCACGAATGAGGAAGATTCAGGTTGCGAGCAGCTGGAAAACGCACATTATAAACATAGAAGATATTGACACACTCCCTTGACCTAAAAAAGTCATTATCTCCCGAACAGGCTTCCGTAATGTGCTACCGCCATAACTACGATCCGGCGATGTTTGAATTAAGCAAGCGAGCAACGAGAAGAGCAACGTGGATGAGAGTGCTTGCTCAATGTTTGGAAACATTTCTTTTTTTTCTTCCTCTCATGGTTCCGTGTTTTCAATGTTGTTTTTTTTGCTTTCTTCATCCCTGAAGAATCCCAGAATCACCTAGCGTTTACAGGACAGTTTTTAATTGAATGCCACTATCCACAATGTAGAATCGTGGGGTTTTTAAAGGCACGGTTCGCGAAAAACTAAGGCTAGCACGTCCTGAACGTGCATTATTACCAAGTAGGCAACAGCGGAGTGCGCCACATTCAAAAGGTGAAAAATGGCAAGGAAAGGGCAGGGCGGTCAGGTTTTGGGCCCATGGGCGCCTAATATGTGGGCCTATGACGGCCTACTTTGCCGTATCATCCCGACTATGCCACTGCGCTCTCCCGTCCGCCGTTTTCCGGTCTTTTTTCCCTTGTCAGTGTATCGTGGTCTCCTGCATATCACAACTGATCTTTACCATCTTATGCTCGTCCGGTGATCACGATCAATAAAGAGGTTCTTCTTGCGGGTGGTTTTTGAGCTTTCTTCTGCAGCGAGTCGACTAGCACATGGCAATTATATTTTTGATTTGTATTACCTATTATGTGCATCCGGGGGAGATTCCTTTAAGTTGCTTTGGGCGCTGCTGTAGTTCCTCCTTTTGCACATCTGCTGTTATCGCTTTTAGCCATTGAATGCACTGTGTAACAGACTTTACCGATTGCTGACAAGCTTTTCAGTACTGGTCACTACTATCGACCAACTCAATTGCTATAAACAATGCTGTTTTGATATTTTGAGCAGATGTGATGTGATGAGGGAGGGGATAGGACCGTGACCGGACCCTCTTTTTGAGGTGGGGAAGGGGGTCGTGTGACACCGCCATTTTGCACATCCCCATGCTGCATCCTGTTTTAAAAGCTGTCCCACCCCGAGCAGTAGAAGAGAATCAGTGCTAGAGACGGTGACTTCGACTCTATGCATGGGTGCATTTGTGCTCTTATATA